GACCGAAACGTGTGCTTGCACACCGAATCGCCTCAAGCGAGTCGTTCGCAAGCGTTGCAACCGAACCGTTAGAAACGAATCTTAAACGAAAGATCACCTTTTGACGTATTTGTCGCGCAGCACTGACTTCATTGAAAGTTTTGCTTGAATCGGATGGCAGCAGCAGAAGTACGTACAGAAGTAGAGCAGCAGGGCGAGCTTTACGGTCTCTAACATGGTTATCACCGGCGTAGCTGGATCAGCAAGAACTGTTAAGCAGATCGAAAGCGCCGCCGATAGGTAGATGCCACACTGAGCGCATTTAGGTATCGTCGCAAGAACGTGTAAACGGCGCCTACCATGCAAAGAGTGCAGTCAGCGTTCGCACGCCGAGGAATGTCGTAAGATCGTCACGTCGTCAATTTTGCCATAGCATATCTCCGAGACATGGCTCTGCACGACCGCCATCAGAATCACGGTCTCAACGCTGACCGTCGAGTTCCCGGTCCAAGCTGACGGTCTGTTTCGCCAGACGAGCCATGCTTTGAACATAAACGAGTCACCAATGCTGCCATGAAGGCCGAACACTTTCCTCAACTGACAGAAGGCTGCTACCTTACTGCTACCTTACTACGAGGATCCAAGCATGCCGTCAATTTGTCCAGTGGCTAACTTTGGTCATGGTCCATCATGCTCTTTCTCTGCTCCCGTTTGGCCTCACAGCTTCTTTCTTTTTAACCGACTTGCATGCGAAAACGAGCCACATCACGGACAGCAATGCCTCCATAACCCCTCAAGTTCATCATATGCGGCTGCAGCAGTCCTAGCACCTGAAAACAAAATACTCGGCCATAGCAAATCTTTAACCAATCCGTATGACACCTGATGTGATGTTTTCTGTTTGCCTGTTCTACGTGGAGTACATTCATTCAATCTTCTAAGTGACAACGGATAACTGGTGGCAAGAACTGGTTTCAACGAAATTCGACTTAATAGATATGACTTTCATTCGTAAAAATGAAACCTCAATATAGAGCGAGGAAAGAAAGCACGTCTGAATAACTCTATCCGGAATGCAAGCGCCTACTGTGGCAATGGTAATCATGACTGGAGAGACTCTATTTTACCTAAAAAGCCACTCATTTTGTCTATGAACCTGTAGGGAACGATCAGAGGTGATCATTTCAATGGAGCTCTGAAACTCTGAAGGAAACAAAGAGGAATCTGTTCATTTGCAGTCCAATCTATGAGCCAACGGGAACGCCTTACGTAAAATACGAAAGGAAAAGTTAGTCGACGCTTGATTCATAACATTAGGAAATGGAACAATAAGGAAATTCATCACACCACCTTGACAATCAGGACAGAAAAACAAAGCGCAATATATTGACCAAAACGCAGCATCATAATCATTTGAATCGAGAATCCCATCACTGAATTACTAAGCATAAAACATAATTTCATTTTTAAAGGTTGAAGGTACAACGCGCAACCAAGAGACTAATATATGACATTTGAAAGAAAGCAGCACACGTTATGAATCGTCAGAAACGAAATGACAGAATTTGATTTGAAACCATCAATTCCAAATTTATAGTTACTTTAAATCATATCCAAAAGTCAGAACATCATACAGTTAAAGTTTAAAACCGAAGAAGGGGTCATCTACTTAAAAAGACAACGTTTTCCATACCTGAGGTACAAGGAACGCAACAACGTTCATGTGTTAATAAAGGTTACTAGCTTGCATTCGACGAAAGGTGCCTATTTATCTCAGAAAAGATATTCACGCTAAATAAAGTTTGTGTTGTTTGCTTGCTCAGATTAGCATCTTGAGCTGTTTACACGAACAGAACGTCTCTGCAGTACGAAATTAACCGAATACGCAGCCGTACAATGTCTTAGCCGTAACAAACCGGCTCTTGCACCGTAGAAGGGAAAATCATCTCAAGAAGCAGATCTGCTTCTACGTTGTTGCTTGCTGTCCTCCTAATCGACGCTGGCCATGATTTGACACCAACAGGAGGATTCAGGGAGTGAACTAAATGTCTTATGCTTGACCAGTTTGCTTAATCAGGCAATATGAGAAACTCTCTGGATGGAATACAGAATAATTTTCCCAAACAGAAGCAAATTAATTTCTTTAATTTTCACATATATACAAAAAAGAACAATTGAGAGGAAGAAAACGGAGTCGCTCTCATTGTGATCCTCACATTAAAGCCTGATCATTCTTGACGCCAACGTTGTTGTGCACAGTTCAGTCATTCAACCGTCTTTGGTTTTTCTTTTAGTGCGACTGCCTTCCG